CGGCGCTGCGAGGGCGGGCGCCGCTGCGACGGCCCCGGCCCCTCCTCCTCCTGGCTGCTGCTGCTGCTGCTGCCGGCTTCATCCTCGCTGTCCTCGCCTTCGCCTCCCTCCTGCGCGGAGGGCGGGCGCGGCAGCGCGGCTTCGAGCAGCGGCGCCGCCCCAGCACCTGCTGTGCCGGCTGATGCTCCCCTCCCCCTCCCCACGTGTGGCACAGCCCTACAGCCCGCCACCCGCTTGCCTGCTCATACACGTTAGGCATCAGCTGATGCCCAGGCTGGCCCTCCTCCACCAGCGGTCCTCGATCCGCCAGCTCCGGCTCCAGCCACGCCACCTGGCTGCGCAGGCCTTTGAAGTGCAGCGTGTGCATCGAGATCTTCTTCCTCCTGCACCGCCGCATGCCAGGCCATAACGGCAGACAGAGGGCTGCTGAGCCCGCAGGATGCAACCAACCGACATCCACACTGCCCGCCAGCAGCGCTGGGCGATGGGCACGGCGGCTGGATGGGCGGGCCTCGGCGGGCAGGCGGGCGGGCTCCCACCTTTTGTGTCGGCAGAAGGCGCAGTGCTTGCCCCTGCGCGGGCTGCCCCCCTGCGCCTCCACCACAGCAGACTCCTCAAACCGCTCCCGCAGGCCGTCCTTCACCGAGCCGCGCCAGCCCTCCAGGTTGTTGGCCTGCTCGCTGCGCTCGGCACGGGGCAGGCAGGCGGGCAGGTGTGAGGCGGGCGGGCAGGCGGGCAGCAGGCAGCAGGCCCATCAGCACGGCCCACAGGCACCCAGCGCCGGCCAGAGAGCAGCAACCGCAGCGAGTCACTTCATTTCAAGCGGCCCGCAGGGCCCCCCGGGTGGCTTGGCGAGCCCCCGCCCAGCCAGGCCTGCCCACACACCCAGCAGCCGCACCAGGCCTGCTTAAGGTCCAGCTCCAGCTCCAGCGCCCGCGCCACGCAGCTGCGCTCCGTGTCGGACAGGCTGTCGGCCTGGGGCAGCGCGCGCAGCAGGCGCAGCAGGCGCAGCAGGCAGTACAGCTGGTACAGCTCGTCGTCGCCCAGCTTGGAGCCGGCCGTCATCCCGCGCCTGGATACCGGGCGGGCCAGGGGGTGCGCATAAGGTTTGTGCACTGCAGGAAGGCACCATGGCACCACGGTGGCAGCGGGGCAGCCAGGCAGGCGGCGGCGCGGCGGGCCCTCACACTTGCTCCAGCGCAACGTGCCCCGCCTCCCCGTCCTCCACAATGAAGTCACCCAGGTCGCTCGCCTCCTCCGACCCCTCCTCCGACTCCTCCTCTGACTCCTCCTCCTGCTCCCCTGCTGCATGCCCTCCCTCCTCTCCCTCCTGCTCCCCGCCCTCCGAGCCCTCCTCGCTGGTGCTCGGCTCTGCAGGCGAGGCAGCGACAGGCGGCCCTGGAGGGTGACGCCAGCTGCTGGCATGCAGGCGCGGCAGGGGAGGCAGCCCAGGGCACTGACAACCCAGTAAGCGGACAGGGCAGGAGCACGATCGGCGGCAGGCGCACCTTCCTCCAGACGGCTGTCTGCCTCGCCCTTCTTCAGGCGCTGCAGCCTGTCCAGAGCTGCAAGCTTCCCCCGCTTGGCGGCGGATGCCTGTGTGCGCGTGGACCTGGCGCTGATCAGCAGCGGGCTGGCCTTGCGAGACACCAGCCGGCCCGGCAGCGGGCGCTGCGGGGTCGGCAGCACCGGCGGCGCCTCGCCAGTCAGGTCCACCACCTCGGCGGCCTCGGGAGCTTCTCCGCCCTCGTCGCCCGCGCGCAGCAGACGCAGGCGGCGGGTAGATGGGGCAACTGCAGGCACGTCCATAAACAGGATCTCCTCCTCCTCCTCACCCTCCTCCGACTCTTCCACAACTCGGCGCTTCCATCCTTGCGGCATTGTAAAAATTGCGGCAGCCGATTAGGGACGCGGGGATTCAAGAGTTGCAGCACGGCGGTGCCGCGTCGCAGCGTGTCGTGCAGGGCGCAGCCGCCGCACGTCGCATTCCCCTTCCTGGGCACTGAATGAACTCATCGCATCACCAACACCCACTCCAAATGCATTGATGTTTTTTGGCACATTGTCTGGCAGCAGCACGGCAATGGCGGGGCAGGGCCACAGCATTGCGTGCGACGCGACCACTCCACGGCTCCTCGGCCAACAGAAAACGGTGTTGCAATTTGGTCTTCCACCACCAAAAACGCGGGGGTGCCCGCACTCCACAGCAATAGTCAAATATCAAGCAGGGAAACAATGAAAAGGGTTGGAGTTTGGAGGTGTGAACCGTCCTTCTCTCCGCACGCCGCTCGCACGCCGCTCTCACAAGGCGCCCGCAGCTGGCTCAGCGGGCAGGTGGGTTGGGGCCCAGGGGCCCCAGCCGTGGGTGCCCCAGCTCAGAAGCGGTCGTCCACCACGAAGGAGTTGACCACCGTCTTGATCTGGTCCTTCATGCGGCCCCACCGCCGCTCGTTGGCGCCCGTCAGCAGCGTGTAGAACTTGCCTGCGGCACGCGCGGTGGGGGTGTGCGCGTGAAGGAGCGGGCTCGCCAACGGGGCAGCGAGGAAAGGGTCTGCTGCACAACAAGCAGGCGCCGTCCACCGCCCTGCTGGCGCTTCTGCTGCCATGCACCAGCAGATGGTGCTGTCAGCATCAAGCTCAAGCCTCCGACCCGCCCACCAGCCAGCCCACCCCATCCCAGCCCCACCCACCGTTGCCCACGGTGACAGAGGCCAGCGCGTGGCGCGTGAAGCCCCTGCTCTTGGCCGTGAACTCGAAATCGTAGTACTTGCGGCCGTTGGTGGTGCGCTGCACGAAAGAGCGCGTAATAGGGCAGCCGGGAGCATGAGAGCGAGGGCAGAGGGCGACGCCGCAGCTGCCGGGCGCCGCTCAAGAGTGGCACGCCAAGCCCGCACTGGAGCGACGGGCAGTAGCCGTAGGAGCCTGGCGCCCCAGCCCTTCGCTTCAACCACAGCGTGCATGCCCTGTGCCCCCTCCACGCGGCGGGGGCGCTGGCTCACCTCCCCCACGTTGATCAGCGCAATCTCCTGGTTGGGCGCCGTCAGCACCTTGTCGGCTAGCGTGAAGGCCACCTCCTTGGCATCCCCAAACTCCCCCACCTCTGCCTTCTCGGTGGGCACCAGGCTGACGCTGACGCTCTCCAGCGGCTCAATCACGTCCTTGTACACCACGTCCTGCCCCTCCACCTGCACCTCCTGCCACCCAAAGGGGTACAGGAAGCTGTAGCCGTCCTGCGTGTCCCGCACAGGCACGTAGCCCTTGGAGCCTGCGGGGCGTGGGGACCAGCACAGCAGGAGCGGCAGCAGCAGTGGCAGCTGGTGGGCCGCAGGTTGGCAGACGGGATGGCTGGCATAGCAGTAGCGCAGCACAAGGGGGCAGTCCCTGCTGGCGGCTCGACCCGCACAGCCACCGCCCACCTTTGGCGGCGCTGGCGCTGCCTGCAAGCAGCGGCGACGCTGCCAACACGGCGCCCAGCTGCAGCGCCTGCCGCCGTGAGGGCGCCTCGCCTGCAGGCAAGGCAAACAGCAAATGAGCGGCGTGAGCGGGCAGACGGGTGTTGCAGCGACGCCAGCGGCGGCAGAAGTGTAAGAGTCCCAGGCCCCCAACCAGTGTAGCCATATCCGCGCTGCCCAACCGCCTGGCCAATCCACCCACCAGCCTGTGCCGCGCACTGCACGGGGGCCTGAGCCAGGCGCTGAGCAGCGGGACGTGGCCGCAGCGGAGCCGCTGCCTGCAGGGGGCAGGGGGCTCATTGGACATGATGCATCGCATCAATTGACTGTGCGGGCTCTGCAGGCGGCGCGACAGGCCAGGGAAGCCAAACCTGCACAAAGGCACGCGTCTGAGAGCACTGCGCCGCCATTGCCGCTGGGTGCAATCGATCGATCCAATCGCGGGGGGGGGTTGAATGGGCGAAATGCGCGTTGGCAGTGGGAGAGCGGGGCAGGCAGGACAGGAGCGTACTGCAGGCTGCCCCGAAGAACAGCAGGGGCCGACAGATCGGCAGCAGGGCGCCCAAGCAGAACCCTTCCACGACGCAGCGCGATCATCAGCGTGCCAGGCGCGCCGCCAGCTGCCCCGTTCTGCAACCGTCCCCAACGCCGTGTTTAGGCTTCCCCGAGCCGGGCTGTGCCCCAGCCAACAGCCGCTGAACAGTCCCTAGCGCGCAGCAGCGCCGCCGTGCCCGGAGGCCAGCTGGTGACAGAGGTGTTTGGACGCGCGCAAGGCGCCATTGCCGCCATGTCGTCACAAAACATTCCCGTGCAGGCAAGCGTGGCAGCACTGCTGCTCACCAAGCGCAGCTTGCCTCGGTCAGCCGCTTGGGGTTTGGGGGCCATGGGCCGGCAGCGCAGCAGACAGCGCTGCCGCGGCGCCGTGCTTGCCGCCAGTGCAGTGTCGGCTGGGGCCACAAACACCTGCTGCCTACGCCACCGCGCGCGACCCCCGTACCCCGCAGAAGGAGTGCAGCGTGCCAGGCAAGAGCTGCTACCAGGTGTGGCGCACCAACTTTGAGATCGACGAGAAGTACCAGCCCATCAAGGCCATCGGCAAGGGCGCCTATGGCGTCGTGTGCTCCGCCAAGAACGCAGAGACGGGTGAGAAGGTGGCCATCAAGAAGATCACCAACGCCTTTGAGAACCTGGTGGACGCGAGGCGCACGCTGCGCGAGATGAAGCTGCTGCGCTACCTCAGGTGCGGCATGGGACGGGGGGGTGGTGGGGAGGAAGGGTTGGTGTCATGGCCAGCAGTTGCCGGGTTGCAACAGCGGCAAGGTGCCAATGGCAGCAGGCTCGGCAGGAACCGGGTCGCCTAGGCGCTGCGGGTGCCCACCTCCCTCCCATGCTGCCCCTGCCGCCGGCCCTCCTGCCCATGCTGCCACACAAACCCTCGGCCCGCAGGCACGAGAACGTGATTGCTGTGCGCGACCTGATGCGCCCCGCGTCGCGCGACGCCAACGATGTGTACCTGGTGTACGAGCTCATGGACACCGACCTGCACCAGATCATCCGCTCCTCGCAGCCGCTCAGCGACGACCACTTCCAGTACTTCATCTACCAGGTGCAGGGGGGGTGCTGGGCGGGTGGTCTGGGCTGCACACACACGCAGCTGGTGCCAGCTCCCTGAACCCTGCATGGCGCCGGCACATCCCAATGCACGCCGACCATTCCTTCCCGTCCCACCACCACGCGCCCCGCCGCCAGGTGCTGCGCGGCCTCAAGTACATCCACTCCGCCTCTGTGCTGCACCGCGACCTCAAGCCCTCCAACCTGCTCCTCAACGCCACCTGCGACCTCAAGATCTGCGACTTTGGGCTGGCGCGCACCAGGTGCGGGGCAGCAGGGGGTCCAGAGAGGGGCTGGGGCGAGGGTGGGCGGGGTTCTGGAAAGGGCGGAGCCGGCAGACCAGCGGGCACCCCAACCCCGCCCACTGGCTGGCTGCGGAGCCTCTCAAGTCCGAGGGGCGCTCCCGCTCCTCACCCCTGCCTCATCCTGCCGGCACCCCTCCCGGCGCTGTGCCCCTCAAGCGCATGCGCCCCAGGCATGTCCTGCAGCACTGAGAGCAACAACTTCATGACGGAGTATGTGGTGACCCGCTGGTACCGCGCCCCCGAGCTCCTCCTGTCCTGCGACTCGTACGACGCCGGCATCGACATCTGGTCGGGTGCGGCTCGACGGGATGGGCGGGGCCGACAGGCAGGCACACCGCCACCCTGCCCACCACCTCTGCACCCGGCACCCACCCTGTGCTGCCGCACCTCCGCCAGCCCCACGCCACCACCCACGCCACGCCCGCCCCTGGCTCCCCTCCCCGCAGTGGGCTGCATCCTGGCGGAGCTGCTGCACCGCAAGCCGCTGTTCCCGGGCAAGGACTACATCGACCAGCTGAAGCTGATCATCCGCACGCTGGGCACGCCCAGCGACGACGAGCTGTCCTTCATCTCCGCCCCCAAGGCCCGCGCATACATCAAGGCGCTGGCGCAAGTGGAGGTGGGGCGCGCGGGCGGGCAGCCAGCCGTCGCTGTGTGGCGGGGACTGTGACGATGGCATGCCTGGCAGCCTGGGGCGACCAGTGGGCTAGCCGGCAGCAGCTGGCCCTCCCCCAACTCCGCCCCCCTCACCAGCACTCGCGTCATGTGTGGTCTTGTCCACTGCCCCTACCTGCCCACCCTCCCTTGCCACCCTCTTCCACCCCACCCCACCCCACCCCCGCAGCGCACCGACCTGGCCAAGCTGTTCCCGGGTGCCAGCCCGCTGGCGGTGGACCTGCTGGGCCGCATGCTGCAGTTCGACCCGCGGCGGCGCATCACGGTGGAGCAGGCGCTGGCGCACCCCTGGCTGGCACAGCTGCACGACGAGGCGGCGGAGCCGGCGGCGGCGGGTGCGCTGGCGTGCTGCTGCGGTGGCGGCGTGGTAGTACTGCTATGCAGCGCGCCGGCTGCCAGCTCTTGGATGCATCCCTGGCGGGCATGGCAACTGCTTCCTGGTTTGCAGAGTGCGCCCGCCTGATGTGTTGCACATGCCTGTCTGCCTTGACCCACACACCCCCACCAAACAAACCCTTGCAGGCGTGTTCAAGTTTGACTTTGAGGAGCAGGACCTGGATGAGGCGGCGGTGCGGCAGATGGTGTGGGAGGAGATGGATGCGTACGACAAGTGAGGGAGGGCCTGTTTTCTGCTCGGCAGCAGCGGCCATTTCGAGCCAGCCAGCCGGACGGCAGGGCTGGGGTGGGCCGCCAGCGGGGCGATGCGGCACCCCACCTGTTGACCGGGCTCGGCACGCTTCATGTGTACAGCTTGCAGCTCCTGCCATCTAGTATAGTGTAGAAGCTGTGTCGGTCTGATGTGATCAGCTGTGTAAATCAGCTGCAGCACGCAGGTCAGTGCACCTCCCTGATGCGGGGCCGCCAGCTGCCCGCCAACAGGGTGGAAACCCAAGAGGCAGTCAGGAGTGATGTTCCGGGAGTGCTCTTCTGCACTTCCGACACAGCCAATTGTCGAGGCTAGCTGCTGGAGGGCACCATGCGGCAGTATAACGAGTGGGCAGCCATGCTACAGGCCTCTCGCTCGGGTGAAGGCGCCCAGGCGGAGGTGCTCAACTGCACGGACCTCCTCTCCAAGCTGATCGTGACCACATCAGCCAGGGACGTGTATGGAACGGTGCAGGCGCAAGCAGCGGCCCTTTTCGTGGTCAACAAGCAGTGGCGCTTGTCCATTCAGTCACTTGAAGACATCTGGCGCTGCTTGGACTGGGCATCGGCCACACGGTGAGTGCTAATGAGCGATCCTGCTGCAGTCCGGTCGTTCGGTTACCGTGCACCGCCGGCGGTCCGCACAGTCACCGCCCGTGCCGCCACCTTCTGCTGTGCCTGCAGCGGCGCCCGGCACTCTGACGCAGCCGTGCCGGCGCTGTGCCTCAGCATACAGAGGTGGTGGGGCAGCAAGCTGACAGGTGAGGCAGGGCGGTGCATTGTGTTGGTTGTGAACTGCCATGCTGTTGCTCGATCCGCCGTTTGCCGCTGGTTTGCTCTTTCTGCCATGCACTCTTACGATGGCCGTACGGTGCCTCACCCTGCTGCCCCAAGCCCGCATGCTGCTACAGAGTTCGATGCTGGGAGCGGCTGCCCCATCGCGCGGGAGCTGCTCACCGACGGGGTGCTGGCGCTCATTGCGCGCCACTCGCCGCGCCTGCAAGTCGTCAGGTGCGCCAAGGTGCCGGTGCCGCTCCGTGCCTCCTGCTGGATGGATTGAATGCTTCATGGCATTGCAAGCACATGAGTCCATGCTGCACTCGCTGCAGCTGCCATGCCCCAGCTCAGCTGCCGCACCCCAGCTCAGCTGCCGCACCCCACCAAGCTGCTTTTGCTGCCCACGCCTGCCGCAGGCTGCACGGCTGCCTGCACATCACCGACTGGGGGCTGAAGCAGCTGGCGGCCGAGCGGCCGCCGCTGCACACCTTTGCGCTGGAGTGGTGCGGCGGTGGCGTGTACCTGGACGGCCTGCGCGCCCTCATCCGCAGCTGCCCGCTGCTGGAGGCCTTCTCCGTCAGCAGCGGCCAGGAGTCGTTCAGCCTGGGGTCGGTGACGGATGAGCTGGTGAGGGAGCTGGTGGCGTGCTGCCCGCGCATCGCGGCGCTGGAGCTGAGCGACACGCGCGTGGGCGACGCGGGCCTGGCGGCCATCGCCGCCGCCTACGGCCGCCAGCTGCAGAGCCTGCAGCTCAACTACACGCGCGCGTGGGGCCAGTGGGGCGTGCTGGCCCTCGCCCAGCACTGCAAGGCGCTGCAGTTCTTCTCGGCGGCCTCCAGCGCCATCACCGACGACGCGCTGTCGCTGCTGGGCGGCGGCTGCCCCGCGCTGGCATTCGTGTGCGTGGACAGGTGCAGGCAGGTCAGCCTGGACGGCATCATGCGCCTGGTCAACCGCGGCCTCGCCGTGCAATACGTGGAGATGGCGGGCGTGTTTGGGCGGTCGTCCGCCGAGCAGCGCGCCGTCTTCGGGGCCTGGGTGCAGCGGCGCGGCATGCAGTACGATGCCCGCAGCGGCCTGCTGGCCCCCCTGCAAGCCGCCTGACGTGCCGGGTCTGGCCTCTGGAATGCGGCGAGCAGTCAGCTTTGACTGTTTTTCTGGCTTGGCATCTCAGACCGACCCCTTGCAACCTCCCATTTCATCAATCAATGCATCTGGATCCATCTTCATTTCCTTCAGCTTTTGTTAGAGGTCCTGACCTGGCGCGCGGAAGTTTCCTCTGAGAGCCCTTTTGATTGAGCGCTGTTTCATGCAGAGCGCTCTAGAGCATGAAGCGTTCACTGTTGGTTGATACATTGGCATACATATACTGACGCATGCCATTTAAGTTGCTGTACAGAAGGATCGGCGTGTAGATTGAAAGGGAGCCTGCAAGCGTCACCAGCGGCGGCCGCTGCCACAGCCGTAGCCGGCGGCTGCACCTCCGCTAGCTCAAAGCGGCGGCGGCCAGCCTCCCTCGCCCTCTCCTCCCACCTCGATTGAAGAGCCGAAGCAGGGCTCCCTGGATGCTCGCAGCTGCCACAGGGCTTGTCTGATGCGGCCAGCTGGTGACAGCTGTCCCATGCGCGCCAGGCACAACAGGTCCTACCAGCTCCCTCCCATAGAGCTACAGGTAAACCGCCCCCATTCCGCCCATTCCTCCCCTTCCTCCTCGCCCACAGACGCAATGACCCGCCCCCAGACGCTCGCCCTGGCCCTGGCCTGCCTGCTGGCGGCCGCCGGCCCCACCGCGCTGGCGGCCCGCGAGCTACACCAGGTCGCCTCAGCCACTGCCACAGCCTCTGCCTCCGCCCGCGGCTCGGCCAGGGCCAGCGCCAGCGCCAGCGCCGGTGCGGGTGGGAAGGTCGGCGGCCGTGTTGACCAATGTTTGACCGGCGGCAGGCCAGCGAGCTGCGCCCCTGGCTCGCTTCCTATCTCACCCAGCGTTGCTGCCGCACCTGCCTGCCTGCTTGCAGTGGCCAGGGCCGGCGCCGCCCCCACTCAGCCCGCCCCTGCCGCCCAGCCGGCGGCCGCCACCCAGGCCATCCCCGCCAATGCCGCATCCCAGCCGACCTGCGCTGACGACGACATGCCGCCCACCAAGCAGTTTTCATGCGCCCAGCAGAAGGAGTGGGGCAAGTGTGAGTGGCGCTGGCGGGGAGGGCTGGCTGGACGGTGGGTTTGCTGTGCCCATGTTGATCCGCTGGTTGACCGCGCTGCCGCCCTCCCTGCCGCAGGCGAGATGTGCTGGCTGGTGAGCAAGGGCTACTGCCGCTACACGTGCGGCTACTGCGGCGTGGACATGGCGGCCGCAGCTTGCGCCCAGGACCCCGACGCCTCCACGCAGGCTGTGGCTGACGCCAACCCGGGTGGGTTGCAAGACGGAAGCAGCAGCTGGGGCTGGGGCTGGGGCTTGCCTGCTGCTGCCCTGGGGCCTCAAGCCAAGAACCTCCGCCCAGCCGGCGCACCTCACACACCCTGCCTGCCTCCACACCTGCCTGCAGCACCCATCGACACCGCCGCTGTCGGCCCCCAGCCCGCGCCCGCCGCCTCCCCCGCAACTCCCGACTCCACAGCGGCCACAGAAGCCGCAGCACCCACCCCCACGGCCGCAGCACCCACCCCCACCAGCACCGCCACCGCCTCTGCAACCGCCGCCGCCACCGCAGACAGCACAGGATCCGGCACCGCCACCGCTGCCGCACAGGCTAGCGCACAGCCAGCACCAACCCCGGTGAGCTTGCCTGCTTTGCGCCATGAGCAGGACTCTGGCTGACGCCTGATGATGCCCGCTCACCTCCCTCCTCTCCTGCCACCTGCTGTGCAGTTCCTCTTCAGCCCCGCCCCGGCCCCTGCTGCTGAAGACAGCGCTGACGCCGACTCCCTGACGGGCGCTGACGATACCGCGGTGTGCGGGGCCAGCCTGCCTGCCCTGCACACATAGCTGCTGCGCCTACACTCACCTGCTGTCGACAGGTGCCCACCCTCTGCCTCACACAAACCTCACCCCTGCCTCCCCCAGGCCTACAACGCCACCGAGTGCGCGGAGCTGGAGCTGGAGGCGGAGGATGATGAGAGCAGCGCCCAGGCATACGCCGAGCACTGCGGCCTGGCCGCCGCTGTGGCCACCAATGGCGGCACAGCCGTGTCCCATGCCGACGGCGGCGCCGCCATCAGCCAGGCGGACGGCCAGGCGGCTGCCGTCTCCGCCACCAAGCCCGGCTCTGCCACGGCCGCCTCGGTGGCGGGGCCAGGCGGCAACGCCGCCAGCGCCGCCCACGGCTGAACCGACGCGCCTCGACACCTACCCTAGATCTGCTGAAATTTGTTGACATATTTTCAATTCCAGTCTCACCTTTCTTCAAAAGAATCTGTCCAGCTCAGTTTCCTCCCAGCTAAACCAACCTTTAGAGAACCTACGCTCCCAACCAGCACACACCCCAGCTCACTCACACATGGGTGCCCCCGTCCAAGGTGTGATCAAGAAGGCAGCGGCGGCGGCAGCCACCACCGCCACCAGCCTGGCCTGGAAGCGGCTCAGCTGGCAGGCGCGGGCGGCGCTGATGGGGGGCTCCTTTGCGCTGGGCACGGCCCGCAAGCTCAACAGCATCAGACACCGCCTGGCCGGCAGCAGCAAGAAGGGGCGCCGTGGCGTCGCCACCGCGGCAGGAGCGGTGGAGCGGGAGCAGGGCGCGGTGCCGACTGCGGGCCTGAGCCCCGCGGCAGCGGCATTCCTGGCGCAGCGGCAGGCTGGCAACCCAGTGTGGGCGCCCGCCGTGAGGCAGGCGCTCGGCAGAGCCCCCTGACTGATGGGTGGCAGCCCCCGCCAGGACACGTGATCCAGCCCGGCCTGTGATTTGCTCCTGCCTGCTTTTCTCTCTGCTTGCCTGCCTGCCTTTAGTGTAAACCCATTCATGCTGCAAGCAGTTTCACGTACGGGCGGCTACACAGGCGGCAAAGCGCCACCACCACAGCTCTCATACAGCAGCAGCGAGGCCTCGGCCTCCAGCACTTCCCCAAGCTCCGCCGCCCGCACAACCTCATCCGAGCAGCTCACCCAGCTCCCGCCGCCGCAGCCGCCATCACCAGCCGCGTCCAGGCAGCGGTACACGGTGTAGTGCCCCCCGCCTGCCAGGCCCCCCACGTGCACCACAACCGCCCGCAGGTGGTACAGCGGCGGTACCGCGGCTGCCGCCTCGCCGCCGTCGCTCGCCTTGGCGCCCACCCAGTCATGCCCCAGCATCGGCACGAGGCTGCGCGGCAGCTGCAGGCGGGTGGGGAATGCTACCTTCCCTGTCACCTTCACGTGCCCTGCGGTCGACCAGAAGCCGCGGCGCAGCTGCAGGCACAGCACGCGCGGCAGCTGGGCCGCCACGGTGCGCTTGGCTGCCACGCTGGGGCGGGGCTGGAAAGCAATCCCTGCAGCAGGCGAGGTGGGGCCGGTGAGGGGCGCACACTGGGATGGATCCTTCCGTGTGTTCAAATGCCAGACAACATTAACGCTGCTTGCATCGCTACGGAAACTTGCTTGCACCACAGGCTTGCCCGCCAACCCACCAGCTAACCTGCCGCCGCCAGCATCCCTGCATACGCCTCGCTCTCCACCAGCTGCCCGCCATCTGCCAGCACCTGCTTCAGGCGCCGCATCTCGGCGGGCAGCGGACCTGCCGGAGCCGCGCCCCCAGCTGGCTGCTCCGGCGCAGCCGCCGCCTGCTCGCCGTCTTCCGCCTCGCTGTCGTTCTGCTGCTGCTGGTGCTGGGCCACAGCCGCCGCTGCCGCTGCTGCGGCCGTCGCCGCGTCGGCTGCCTGGAAGCTGGCGGCCAGGGAGCAGCGCGTGCAGTGCCACCCCAGTACCGCCTCGTATCCGTAGTACCCGGCCAGGCTGCCCTGCAGGCTGGCGTCTGGCGCCGCCGGCACATTGCCCAGCAGCGTGGCGCTTGGCCGCACCGAGATGCCCAGCGGCAGCACCCAGAAGGGGCTCAGCTGCACCAGCGAGCGGTGGCGGCAGCGCGCGCAGCGCAGCTCGTGGGCGTTGGCGCCCCGCAGCGGAAGCCGCGCACGGCGGCGCCACGCGTGCAGCACAGGGTCTGGCAGCGGCGGGCCGGCGCCGCACGCCCGCGCCGCCGCCTCCGCCTCGGGCTGCCGCGCGTCGGCTGGCTGGGTAAGCTGCGCTCCAGGCGCGGGCTCGCTGCCGCTGCTGCTGCTGCTCTTGTGGCAACCATCCGTCAAGGTGCTGCTCTGGATGCCGTTGTGCAGTCCATCCGGGATGCGTCTGCCGCCTGGCGTCGGCGCGCTGCCATTGCTGCTGGCCTTGTTGGGCGCCTCGGCCGAGCCGCCATCGACCAGGCCACAGCTGCCGCCGGAGCCGGTGGGTGCCCCAACCTTCACCGCTGCCTCTGCTTGCCCACTGGGGCCGGCTTGGATGGCGGTCAGGGATGCCTGCGCTGCCAGCTGGTGCCGCACGCTGCGCACAAGCTGCGCCTGCAGCTCCTCCTCCACCAGCCCGCACAGCAGCTCCACCGCCTCTGCCGCATCCTGCTCCTCCCCAGCTTCCAGCACGCCATGCGGCAACCTGGACAGCAGGGCGCGCAGCAGGGCGCGTGGCGCCACGCTGCGCGGCGCCACGCTGCCGCTCTGCGGCTGCAGCCAGCGAAGGACGTCCAGCAGCGCCGACGCCAGGGCGGGAGCAGGGGCGGGGGCGGCAGCGGGGGCGGGGCCGCTCGCTGCTAGGAAGTTGAGGGTATCTTCCAGGTGCCGCACTAGGGCCTGGCAGCTGGCCAGGGCCTGGCACACAGCAGGGAATGCGAAGAGTTGGCAAGGAATGCAAGAGTTGCCTTTCCGCCGCGTCCCTGCTGATGCACATGCGCACACCTGCAGAGTGGCGGAAATGAAGCATGTGTTTCCGAGGTTCACCAAGCCCGCGACAGAGGTCCCCATCGATCTCGTCCCCCAATGTCTTTGTCGATGGCAGGTCAAGAAGAAGAATGACTCACGGGTACCACTGGTTGAAGGTGAGGATGGTGAGGTTGGCTGGGTCGTGCTGCGCATGTCTGGACGCCAGGTGGCGCCGCCCCGCCGTCGATGAGAAAACAGTTTTGACCTTCTGAATTGGAAGATGGTGTGTAAACCAATCGGTAGTCCACCTGAGTACCCCGTGGCGAGCTAAAGTACTAGTGGGTGGCCCTCGTGATATAGCTGGCAAGCACCCTTCCCTACGCATCTGTCGTGAGGCGGCGCCGCCGCCTGCCGGCAGGAAGGCCAACCCATCCGAGAGGCCTGCCCTCCCCATGGCATCCCAGTCCAGATTTCCACAACATTGTTCTTAGTGTTACCACAGAGTGATGGGGAGTTCTGCTGCGCAGGCGGGCACAAGCACCTCCTGCAGCGGGCTGGGGGCAGGCAGCAGGCGGCGGCAGTCCTGAACCCCAAAATCCAAGCCTGGCACGGATACACGCATGTTGGTGCACGCAGTGACGTTTGGTCGTAAGGGGATGGTCATGTGTTGCCCCCTGATGTGGCACCCTCCCGATTGGGCAACCCCCGCCCCCGCTCGCTCCTGGCAGCCCGCGCGGCGCTCCCCTCCCATACGTGAACTGACCCCATAGAGCCATGTTTGAGGGTTGAGCGGGGCGGAGCGGGGCTGCTTGCACACGTGATGGCATGCACGCTTCAACGCTCCCGCTGTCATCTCACCTCTCTAGCGTCAGAAATACAACTCTTACAAGCCAACCAACACGAACAGAGAGACCGAACAACAGAAATGAACAGGAAATATGAAGCCGCCACAGGCGGCAGCACCTTCCAGCGGAGACGGCAAAGCGTACAAGGCACACTTCTTCAATGGTTCGTGCAATTGCCACCCTTACCGGTTATACAGCCACAGTGCCGCCCACACCGCGCACCATTCTTCTTGCAGCTGCAGTTCCGGGTGCAGGCGCCGCGGCAGCCGCAGCGCACGGCTGCCTTGCCGCCGCCGGGCTGCGCCGCCATCGCCACATTGAGAGACACCACAGGCACTCCTCGCTGCGCCGTGCCGCTGAAGGTCAGCTCGCTGGCCAGGCTGGGTGGCGCCTTAGATAGCCTGCTGGCCTGATGCATACCCTCCACCACTCCAGCTCCGCTCCGCAGCCGGTACATGGTCACGCCAAAGGGCCGCTTGATCTCCACCACGCGGCACACGATGCGGTTGCGGCCCAGCTGCTTGCCCACTTTGCCG